TTTGAAAATAATTAATTTAAATTAAAAAGTTCCCCGATTGATTGTCAAATTGTCAAAAAAAAAATTAATTTTGTAAAAATTATTTAAATTTTTACATAAATTTATATAAATAAAATTATTAAATCATTATTATTATTATTATTATTATTATTAGTTAAAGTGTTGGGTTTTTATTTTATTTTAAATTTTTTCAGTATTGAAGTTATTAAAAATAAATTAATTTAATTTAATTAATAATTTTTGATTTGTAAAAATAAAAATAGTTATTAGAAATTATTTAAAATAAATTAATTATTATTAAGATTTTTTTTTTGTTTTGTTTTTCCGGTGTTGATAATAATAATAATAATAATTAATTTTCATTATAGTTATTAATAATTATTTTATTATCATCATTAATTTAAAAAAAAACGTTAAATAATAAAAAAAAATTTATTAAAAATTATTAATTGACGTGTGTGTATGTGTGTGTGATTAAATAATAATAATATTAATTAATAATTATTATTAATTTATTATTTATTTAATTTTTTTTTACGCATAGTTCATAAGTTTTCCAACACAAACAATTTTTCGCGAAGAAAATTTTTTTTTTTCTAATCACGTTTTACGTGTTTTAATCTTTATAAAAAAAAAACTAAAAAATTGAACTCGAATTGTAATTATTATTATTATTATTGAAACGAATAATCAATAAATTATATTGGGGGGGGAGGGGGAGGGAAAGGGTCTTTTTTTAAATTTTCATCATTATTATTAGTGTTTTTTTTTTACCCCGGAGGGTCGTGGGGCAAGGGGTAAATGTATTTTCGTGTGCGAAATTCGTGGTTGGAATTTACAAAAAAAAAAAAAAAGGAAAATTTTGTATTTACGATTTTTGTCAAAAGATGTCTTTCCTGTAGGAAAAGTTTTTCTAAAAAGTTTATTTTGCTGCAGTTTTTTAAATGTTACCGCGTCGTGAGGTTGCGTAAAAAATAATTAAAAGTTATTTTAACGGTTATTTTTTTTTAAGTTATTCGGTCGTCGATCGGGATATTTTAAAATTAAATTTTTTAAAAATTAAATTATAGTTTAATTTTTTGTGATTGTAAAAAAAAAAAAAAAAAATTAAATCTATATAGAAAGAAAAGGGGTGAAGGGAAAAAAAAGGAAAAAAAAAAGAAAATTATTTTATTCGCCTTGTCTTAATGAAACTGACAGCATTCAAACCTATTAGGTGATGTTAAGGTAATTAAAACACTTTTTTTTTTTTTCGTTATTTTTTTGGTTTCTTAGTTGTTACGCAATTCGCGAATCGTTTCCCACTCCCCCCCCCGGTTTTCCTTTTCTTTTCCGCCATGTTTTTTTATAAAAAAGTTTAATTTTCTTTTTTGTTAAAAATTATTCTAATTAATATTGAAAAGTGTCGATGTTATTTGTACGCGCAATAAAACTTTGTCCGTATTAATTTAATTTCTATATAATAATAATAATAATAATAACAAATAATTCGATTAACGATTTAAAAAAAAAAAAATTTGATAAATTAATAATAATAACATTGGGGGCCTGTTTTTTTTTTTTTTTTTTTTTTTACTGAGTGTTGTTGGCCAAATGCTTTTGATGTTATTTTTAAACCGGCACCCAAAAAATGACATTTTATGCTGTCGGACGAACTTGAATTTATTTTCAGGGAATCACAATGTTTTTTTTTGTTTTTAGGGTCACTGACAAATTAATTTTAAATAAAATAAAAGAAAATTTTTACAATAATATACAATGGCGAACGACGCGGTGACAAAAGAATAAAAATTTTCACAAACAAAATGGCGGTCGTTGCATAATTAATTAATAATTTTTTTTTTTTTTTTTCGTATACGGTGATTTCTAACGGAGTTTCCGGTTTCGTTTAAAAATTTTTTTACGATTTTAACGGAAAAGGAAGTCGAAAAAAGTATACTACGACATCATTGGCAAATAATAATAAATAATAAAAAGCGTGTCTTTAAGTAATTTAAAAAAAAAAGGGGGGCCCTTGACCTAAGAAAACTTTAAAAAAAAATTTTTTTTTTTTGTCTGCATCGTCATGTCGTCTCTTAAACCCCCCTCCCCCCACTTTTTATAAAATTTAATTTAAAATTGCATAAGATACCTAAATTTTTGAAAGAATAATAATGATAATTTTTTCTGAATAACTCATGAAGAGAAAAAAAAAAAAATAAGGGAATTATAAATCAGGAAAATTTTTCAGTTCAGGCGTTCAATCAAATCCTAATTATTATTATTATTATGGTTAAAAAAAGAAAAATCAATCGACGAAAGTGTTTAAAATTATTTTCAGTAGTAATAAGTCAAAAAAAAAAATTTTCCTGGAGACTTTGATTGTCAACTGGAACATTGTAACGAATTTTAAAGTCATTTGTTTCTCATATGAAAATTTAAAGGAAAAAATCATTGGAAAAACGGTTTTCCCCCCCCCTTCCCCCCCCATTTGTGCGATTTAAAATAAAATATTCCAGAAACATATATTTTGACATTGTGTCGAGAAAATGACATTTTGTAAAAAAAGAAAGAGTTTGTTGGATTTTTTTTTTTTAAATAGAAGCGAAAACCGCCATTTTTTCCCACCCGAAATAAAATAAAAAAAATTAAACTTTGGAAAATTCAACGTTAGATAATCCACACGCATAAGACAAAAAATTTTTGTGCACGTGACAAAAATTTTAAAACATTATTAAATTTCTTTAAAAAAAAAAAAAAAAAAAAAAAAGAAAGAAAAGAAAGAAAGAAAAAGAAAGAAAACATGAATCTAACCAAAACTAAAATAGAATCCATCAAAAAAAATTTTCGATTTGTTATATATATATATATATAGAGCACGAAAATTTTTGTGTGTTTGTGTTTGTTGTGTGTGTTTGTACGCGAATAAGTTTTTATTTCTATTGTAATGAAATTTAATTCCGAAGGCGTAAAACAAAAACAAACAATAAACCTATTTTTTTTTTTTTCGTTGTTGATGGCAAATCTAAAAATGATACTTTTTGTAAAAAAAATTAAAATTTTCTAACCCTACTCCCTTTACCCCCTCCTCACCTCCTCCCAAAGGCATTTTCCGCCATACTTGAGAAATTTTTCTCAAGTAAAAAAAAAAAATTTTTGAATAATAAATAATAAAATTTTAAGGGTGTAACTCTTTATAAAAGTTCATCTTTATTTATTTATTAAATTTATTTATTATTAACAAACAAAAACGATTTTATTTCGGTCAAATTAAAATCAATAATTACTTTTTTTTTTCTTTTTCGTATTCTTAACTTGCGACTCCCCCTTTTTTTCCCTTCTTAATTTTTTTTTTTCTTTCAAGGACAAAATTTTCCAACAAGTGAACGCAGCCACGCAACTTTCATATCGATTTAAACAAAAAAAAAAAAAGTGCTGACCTACTATTAATGCCATTTACTTTACCCTTATCATCATTATCATTATTATCGTTTTTCTTCCTTCACCCCCTCTCTCTCTCACTCCCCTTTCCCCCACCACTCGGTTTACACGAAAGGAAACAAATTTTTCCCCTTTTTTTTCTTCTTTTTTTAAATTTCACGCCAACAATTCAAAAAATTTTCTTTTTTTTGAAATTTAAATTTTTAATCGCCATTATCGGGAATGAATGATTGTAATACTAATAATAATAATAATAATGATAAATTTAGTCGTTCTGATGATTTGACGTCACCATAAACTAAACTAAATCCTAAAATAATCTCATTAAAAAAGGAGAGAGAGAGAGAGAGAGAGAGAGAGAGAGAGAGAGAGAGAGAGAGAGAGAGAGAGAGAGAGAGAGAGAGAGAGAGAGAAATTTGATTAATTATTGACATAAATGTTTAAAAACTATCGTCATAAAGTAAATAAATAATTATTTTTTCTTATGCGGAAAATTATAGAGCGTTAATAAAATTTTAATAATAATAATAATAATAATAATAATAATGATTATTTATATTATTAATAATATACGCATAATTACTTTTGTGAAAGTTTTAACGAAGAATTTAATTGGAAAACGTGATGATTTCGTTTTGAAATTTTTAAATTTAAAGAAATTTTTTCCCCTTGCTTTTTTCTATAATAAATATTTATCGGGGGGAGGGGGTAGGGAGAGGTACGTCACGTGTATTACTGGGGGCCGCGTCGCTAATACGTAGGTTAATAAAAAAAAGAAAAATTTTGAAATTATATTTAAAAATTAATAACGTATTTATCAAAAAGGTTAAATTAACAAGAAAAATAGTTTGGTTAAAAAATTAAAAAAATACGAATTCAAAGGAAAAAAGGAAAATAAAAGGAAAAAAGGAAAATAAAAGGAAAAAAGGAAAAATTTAATTTTTTTTTTGGGAAAACTTTCAAACTGGATAATTTAAACTTTTCAATTCTCCGGTGAATTTTTACTCTTTAAATTTAATAAATTTTATACGTTTACTTAACTTATTTTTTTTTAAAGTTGATTTTTACTTTATTTAATTTTTTTTTTGGGGGTACTACGAAGAGAGAGAGAGAAAAAGGAGAGGGGGAGGGGAAAGAGAATTAAATAAAGATTTATGTTTGTTTTTTTTTACTTTTCCTCCATTTTATACTATTTTTTTTTTTTTTTTGGAATGTAACGTG